GAGGAATCCAAAGAAGAACAAGGTCGCTCGTCTCCCAAAAGGTCTGAGCATTGCAAGGCCATGTGCTCCCATCTCCGGAAAAAACCAGGCATCATAAGCCCCACTGCTGACAAGGAGAGAGTTTGGGCTCTGGTGAGGGCACCGCAGGTACCAAGGGTATGAGCTCAAGGGTGAATGTCTCTTGCCCTGCAGGGACACGATGGAGCTGTGGAGGATCCTGGGGAGAAGCAGCCTTGGGGTTCAGGTCCTGAAGTACTTAACACAGAAGCTGGAGGCAGCGGGAGAGAACAGCCCTGGGCCCCACTCCTCCGCTCACGAACCGGACCACAGCCAGGCTGCTCTGGAGCCCCTCATGGTACGCTCGATGGCAGAGGCGTTCCTGCAGCTTCGTGTCTGCTTTCTAGCAAACGCCTGGGGAGACTGCACAGGGGTAACGTGCTGGGGCATCTCAGCATTAGTGCTGTGAGGGGCCGGGACACATTTTTCTGGTCCTGGACCGTAAGGCTGTCCCTGGCATGAGACGTGCAGGCAGCAAAAGCTCCCCAAGGGAGGCAGCGGGAGTGCACTGGTGGGCAAAGCCCTTGTTTAATGGGTGTTTCTTGGCCGAATTTCCCTGCAGCTCCCCTGTGCCATCTCCGAGGTGGTGTTTGTGCTGCCAGCCAAGGAAAGGGTCCAGCGCCTGCTTCCCCGTCTCCTTCCTGGCCTCCTGGGTGAGATCAGCAAGGCGCTGGGTGAGGTGATGCTGCCTGCCCCTCTCAGATACCAGAGAGGGCTCTTCTTCAGTGCATCAAGGAGGGAGGACAAGCTGCGCAGGTAAGGAGCAGGAGGGGCAGGGAAGTTGGGGAGCTTTACTTCCCCAGCCAGCTGTGTTCATTTGTGGCGCTGAGGGAGCGCTTGGGCCTGCCCAGGTTCCTACGCGTGGCAGCAGGTTGCCAGGGCTGGCTCGACTTCTCTTCTTTCCTGGAGAAATGTCCGTTCCCAGAGAGGAAGGAGTCACGGGGTTGGCATCGCCGGTTGCTCTCATCCTGCCTGGTGTGCAACCCCGGTGGCAGGGCGTCCTTCTTGTCCCTCCGCGGACTGGGGAGAGACCCTGCGTGGGAATGGTCCGGCCGAGCACCCTGCGGATGGGGGAGAAGACCCTTCCCGGCCCGGGGGCTGTGGCCCAGCTCTGGCCACGGCCGTCTGTGGTTTGGCGTGGTGGAGACTTAGCTCGTGTAATCTGTGGCCTGGCAGCGTGTGGCCGCAGGGCTTGGCTGCAGCAGTGGTGTTCCTGCCTTTAAAATTTATAGGCGGACGGAGCCGTTGTGTCGCGTCCTCGTAGCGGCAGGCTCTGCCCCTGCTCCTGGTCCTCAAGGGTTGGGGGAAACTGGGGCTGTCTCTGGCCTGCAAGTCATGCTTCATAAAATGCTGGTAAGAAGAGCCCTTAGGGAGCACCTTGGGCATCTGGCATCGAGGGAGCACGGGGACCCTGGGTTTCCTCCTGCTGTCAGTGGCCTGAGGCATGGCAAAGGATGAAAATGTCCATTTTCATGGACATGGAGTTTGGGATGAGTGAACCAACACCTCCCGAGGCAGCGGAGCCTTTTAGCTCTGCTACAGACAAATCTTCCCTGGACGTGCTGCGACCTGAGATGTCTTTGGTCTTTCTTTTTCCCAGCCCTTACTGTGAGGCTCTAGAGCTGGTGCTGAGCAGATGCATGGAGGAGAGATGGCTGCTGCTGCTATGGAGGCAGGGAGCGTGGGCATCCCTCAGAAACCCACAGGCTCACGCTGATGGCGTGTGTCTCCTGACGAGGTGAGATCCTCTTCTTGCGTCTCACCTTCTCGTGGGTGGCTGTGCCCGGGGACATGGGTGCCAGGGCCATTCCCATGTGTGCAGGGAGCTGGGGAAGTTTGGGGTCGTGGCTGGCGTCCTTGCCGCGTGACCGTGAGTTGCCTTCTCTGTGTGCAGTGTCCTGCTTCGCAACCGGCTGGTCACAAGGGGTGTGATATGGGCCCTCTCCCAGTGGCTGAACTCCCCCTCGGAAAACCTGCAGCTCACAGCGACAGCTTTCTTTGCTGAGGTGAGGCAACAGGAGGGGAAGGAAGGGTGCAGAGGGCTTCTCTTAGAAAACTGCTGCTTGGGACGCCTCTTTCTGAAGGAAGAAGGTGCCAGAAGAGAGCGTCACCATCCAAGGGATCCAACGGATCCTCCTTTCTACGAAGCCCGTTCGCGTGGTGTGCCTCGACTTAGGTGGCACTCACGGGCATATTGCTTTATTGCAGCTGATGAAGGATCCGCCAGTCATGGAGAAGAAGTCCCTGGAAAGGGTCCTAGGTGTCTTGGTGGAGAAATCCCAGCACGGAATCGGCGCCGTGCGGCAGATGGCAGTGAGAGGCCTGGGCAGCGCCGTCAGGGGAGCACCCAAGGAGGTGAGACCAACTTTTGCCCTTTCTGACTGCAGCCCCTCACTGGCAAGAGCCTGGTGAAGAGCGGCAAGGGGCTTCGGCACCTTGGGCAGGCTAGTAAAGGCAAACGGGGCTCTTTCCTGAGACCACGCTCCTTCGCCTGATGTCAACAGGGTGGCAAGGGGGAAACCTGGTGCCAAACAAGGCTTCCTGGGCTGAGATGGCCTCTGAGCGGGTTTCTAGCAACTTCAGCCCTTGGCAGCTGAAGGGATCCTGACCAAAGCCCATTGCCCGCCAAGGAGTTCAGAGAGCCACCTAACAGTTAACCGCACCTGAGGAGACCCAAGCCTGTGCTGCTCTGTGCACATCCCGTCCCTTGGCCTCAGGAGGAGCTTAGCAAGCTCGCTGCGACCGAGGAGCCTGCGGGCAGCTCCCCCATGTACCAGCGACTATGCCGCCTGCATGGCCTCGTAGGAAAATCCTGTAACAGCTCAAATGGCCAAAATGGCCTTACCCTTCCCATAGGCGGTGTCTGCACAGCACCCTGCATCGGGATTGGAGGTGCATTCGGTGCTGCAAAAGTCAGGGTTCCCAGCATCTGAAGGGACTATCTATATTAGTCTTTCTTTCTAGCGCTAGCTCTGATAAATAGCACGTTAAGAGGTATTTCACAGAGTCTGAGTGCCTTTATAAGGGGATCATGACGGGACAGCACCTCCCGGTGCAAAACATCAGCCATGGTAAAGAGAAGCCATTCGGGTCAGGACTAGCGAGAAGCTTGTGGGTGTCTTTGGCTTTGCAGGTGCAGAAGCACAAGGCGGCCATCCTGGAGGTGCTGCAGAGGGGCCTGGAGAACACCACATGTCCTGTGGTGGCTGCCGAGAGCATGCTGGCGCTGGCGGAGGTGGTGAGGAAGCTGAAGGCGGAGGGCTTGGGGTCTGCCTTCAAAGATATTGCCAGGTCCACCAAGATGTTCTTTGAGGCGGTGAGTGAAATAACTTTCTCCTGCTTGTCTGAGAGGCAGTGGGGTGGGCTGGGACCTCCCCATGCGGCGGGGAGGGTTTCTGCTGGCGGAACGTCTGCTTTGAGCCTTTTTCCCCACTGTTGCGCGGGTAGGGTGGGTTGTCCTGTGAAGTGCCCGTGTTTCCTCCAGGCCAACAGGGTCTCTCACATGCCCCTGTGGTTTCTGGGGCTTTAGACAGCTCCCCTGCCAGAAAGGATGCTCAGGTGCCCTGAGACTCCCCGTAGATTGGGAGTCACGCTTGGACTCACGACCTATGTGGCAGGGAAGGAATCTGGATGAGGCAACCTTCTTTCCAAACCTGGGTTCCAAAATATAGTTTTCCAAAGAACTGTATTCAAGCACACTGACTTACTGATCAGGGATTCTTGTTTTGGTTCTTTACATACTGGCTTCTTGAGGGTGGGAATGAGCGGACGACAGCTATTTCTTGGGCTGCCATCCTCCACGGGCAGCACGCGATTGTTGATGTGGTAGGAGGTGCCCTCGTTACCCAGCTGACAGATGGGGTCTGTGAATTGCAGGAGCCAGATGTCCTTCGCTTCTCAGCCTTCAGCCTCTACGCTGCCCTGGCTGCCGCCGCCTCCGCCTCCGGGAAAAGATCCTTCTTCACCAGAGAAGTGGGGGAAACCTGGGTCAGCCTTCTCTTGCACCTCCGGGATCCCATCCCTGAAGTTTCCAATGTAAGAGCCCCCAGCTCTTCTTTGCAAAACTGTTGAAAGCTGCCTGGTGAATTGCTGCAGGCAGTGCCCTCCCCACCTGGAGACTGCGCCTGGGGCAGCCCCCTCTGCTAGGGAGAGCTCAGCAGAGCTCGGCTGGATGAGCTTCCTGGGAAGGACCCCGGCCACTCCAACGGGGGAGGAACAACGTGGCACGACTCTCTTTTTTCAGGTGTGCAGGACCACCCTCTATGTCTGCGCTCCATTCCTGGTGCTGGAGCGGGTGCAGAAGATCATCATCACCTCCATCGGGCTGAGCGCAGCCCAGCTGCAGTACGAGATTGGCCATTGCCTGGTGAGTGAGCTGCGTCCCGGGGAGACGTTGCAGCCGCAGGGCTGTTCCCCCGAACCGAGAAGGGAGCGTGAGGCGACACGCCAAGGGTGGGCAGGATGGGAGCCGGGCGGGATGGGAGCCGGGCAGCTGGTGCTGAGACACGGCCTGCCCTCCTGGCTACCTGCTCGCTCTTTCTCCTTCCCCTCGTGGCCGAGCCAGCTCGACCGGCCGTGGGTCAGCGGAGCGACCTTTTTGGCCAGCGAAGAAATCGTGCCTCTTTGCTTCCCCCAAGGTCAGAGATGCCCCTGCTATGTTGGAGAGGCTCCACGGCATCGCCAGGAGCCGCCGCCTGGAGAATGGCCGAGCGCTGCACTCGGCCGCCAGCGCAGTCCTAGGTGAGAGTCAGGGCTGGAGCCCGAAGCTGCGCTCCCCACAGAGACAGCCGCAGGGGACTGCACTTTCCCCGTCCGCCCTGGGAGACCGGGGCCAGCCTTGGCAGGGCAGCCACAGAAGGGTTCGCTCAGGGCTCGGCACGAGCGGAGGAGAAGGCGACAGCGTGCAGAGCCGGCGCTGGTGGGGTGGCCGGGCCCCACACGAAGCGATGCTCGGCTCTGCCTGCTGCTACGTCCCGACTGTAAAGTTCTGATCTTTCCAGCCTTCCCCTCCAGCTCCCCGAGCATGTCCCAGGTGTAGGGGAGGGCCGCGAGACAGGGCTGGAGGGCAACGCTCTGACATTTGCCTCTTTGCCTTAGGAGACATCCTGGAAAAAACAAGAGGCCTTGGCGGCTCTTGGCAGCAGCAGCAGGAATGAGGCTCCTCTCCTCAGGTAGGTTGGAGCGGAGCTGAGCTCCGGCTCTGCAGGTCAGGGAGGAGGTCAGAGGCTTGGCAGCCAAAAGCCTGGCTTGGAGCAGAAGGGGAGCACGCAGCAAGGCCAGCTCCTCATCACCCCTCCTGTCTCACTGCAGCTTTCCATCGCCTGCGGCCAGGGGCAGACAGCATCTTCTGCGGCTGTGGACCACGATGGGCACGGGGTTCTGGTGGCAATAAATTTCCTTTCATGGTCACACCGATGGAGAGTTGATCTTTCTTTCCTAGAGACCGGGGGGGCCGGGATGGGGCCATGCCAAGGCCTCAGGGCATCCACCCACGGGTGCTGAGGGAGCTGGCTGACGTGACCATGAGGCTGCTCTCAATGATCTTGGAAGTGTTGCAGCAATTGGGAAAGGTTCCCGAGGACTGGGAGAAAGCAAATGTGGCTCCTGTCTTCGGGAAGGGCCAGAAAGGAGATCGGAGGCAGCACAGGCTGGTCGGCCTTGCTTTGGTCCTTTGGAAGAGGATGGAGCAGAACATGCTGGGAACAGGGGAGACCAAAGGATGTTGTTTACTTTGGGTTTAGTTAGCATTTTGACACCATCTCTCATTAACGCCCTGGCTGACGAGGTGACAAAGACTGAGTCCAGTAAGAGGCTGCGGAGGGTGACCGAAAACAGTTCTCATGCCTGCCCAGGGGGCTGCAATTTCTGGCACAAAGCCCCACGAGAGGATCGCCAGCTAGCAATGCGCCAAGTTTGGGCACCGGCGATGATGCAATGTCCACTCCTCACGAGGGGTGCGGACAATGTGGCAGAGCGTGCCCTCAGCTAGTTGGCAGGTGACAGGGTCTCAGAGTCCTATACTCCTTGACCAGCTACTTTCAGATGCTCCGCATGAGGGGGGTTTAAGGTTTTCATACTAAATTTATTTATTTGAGGATAGTTGATGTTACGGGGAATTTTTATTTAGAGAAGTGATATATACTTAATATACTGAGAACGCAATATAGTGAAATGACAACAGAAAGAGAATGGAGCAATCGTATTATACAGATGAATCAGAAGGCAAATATGATTCCCATTACCTATCATCTCTCCACGCTTAGCGCCGGGATGCTGGGTGTCCCCATTTTCCTGCCAGGAGTACATGGGTTGAAGCCAGCTAAAGGCCATTTCTCTCTTCAAAGTATGTTTTTCTGGGTGTACTGTAACATTTTCTGGTACTGTAAAATGCTGTCTTCCAAACAGAAATTTAAAATCTTCAGTCTTTTTTTTTTTTTTAATGCACATGTGATCTGCTTTAAAAACCCAACAAACTAAACCAAATGTAAGGCGGGGCGGGGGCAGTGCCACAAAAAATGTGTTCTACAAATGATAATGTCCTGGTAGAGTAAATTTGAGGAAACTAGGAGACTCCACATCCCCTTTCCGTCCAGTTATTGGTGATCTGGGGGGAAAGGTCTCGCTCCGGCGGTCCCTGGGGGGTTCCTTTGTGCTGAGGAGAAATCAGCACTGACAGGGCTGAGTGCCTGAGGAGACCCTTCCCAGCACCACTGCCACGAAGGGCAATGGGCAGGATGGAGGAGAAGAGTTCCTCTGCCCGTGGGGATGCTGAAATGGCCGCCGAGGGCCAGGACTGGCCCTTCCCTCAGGCCTTTCCTGGGCCGCAGAAGACATTTGGGCACGGTGGAGGGGATAGTCCTGTCGGTGCCCTGACAGGGAGGAAGACGAGGCTTGTGCAGAGGGTGCTGCCTTCTCTACCCCCTCAGGACGCGGGGCCCTGTGCGTGCCCACCAGTGCTGTGGGCTCCAACGTGCCACCATGATGGCGGAACCACATTTCCTAGCGTGCCACGGGGGTCCCAGCCCCACGCACTTCTTCTGTCAGCTCCTGAGCACATGCGATGTGAAAACCTGCACCCCCCAAACCGTATTTCCTTCTTCTTGCAGCTCTTTTTGTTTAATCTGATGTAGGATGATGAGCTCATCAGTTTGTATTTCTGTTTCAGACCACAGCTTTTCCTGCTGGTTTTCACACAGGAAGGGCTTATGCATTTGCAGGCTTGAGTAAGTGGTGAATATCTGATGCACAAATAACCAGAAAATTCTGAAAAAAAACCCCAACCAAACCCAAACAAAAAAACAAACAGAAGAAATCTCATAAATTCTTTGTAGCAGAGAAAAGAAAAAGATGTTTCTTTTTGCATGGACATAGCAGGTTGCAGGGACACCATGGGGCAAACAAGGAGGTAGGAGGAAGATTTTTTCAGCCCAAGGTATAGACCAAGAGCTGTTAAAGAATTCTCAGTCATGGATTTCTCTAGGTTTGCTTTATTAACAACTCAGAGTTGGGCCACCACTGCAGTGAATGGCAACCCACAGTCATCTTCTCATCCCCTTTACCTTGAAGTCTCATACCTACACAATTCTGAGAAAACCTCTCCGGCTGTTTCATTAACTATTTCACATTTATCTTTGTAAGCTCTACATATTTTAAGCACTCCCCAGCTAAGCACCTGTATCTTGCTGATTTTTCATCTTTTGTTTGATCTGTCTCTACTGATTAGCTTGACTGGGGTTTAATCTGGTCCTGGATTGGGGCTATACAGGGCGGCAGGCTGAGAATGCTGCTCATGAGCAGCTCTGTTGCCATTAATAACCTTAACTTATTCTATATTAATTTCTAACAGTCTTATAGTCCTAAATTTTCTCAAATCTTCTACAGCGCACCCAGAGCTCCAGGATTGCTGGAAGATGTTGGGCATGTTTCCAAGCTACCAACACAGGGAAGAGACTGGTTTCTCCAGGGACAACTGCCCAGGTAGGGATGGGGACGCCGACTAGGGTCTAATGGTTCATTTTAGAGTAGCAGGGCCCAAGTTGACCCAGCCCACCCCTCCTTAAATGGCCAAGTGCTGCCTCATGTCCTTCAGCCCTTGCCTAGGTCCTCTCTGTGCTGCGGTTTTGCTGACTCCTCCTCTGTTAAGGGTTTTCTTTTGAATTATGCTGAAGGGAAGTCACACCCCATGGTTTGAGCAATTGCCAGACAGAGAGCAACTGGGGGTCAACCTACGGAGGAGACAGGCACAGGTCCTTGCAAAGATCCCGGGAGAGAAGATGCGAGTCCTTGGAGTGCAGTGGAGATGGGACCTGGGGAAAGTAGGGTCCTTGTGAGGTGGGAAGAGGAGCTGCAGTGCAATGGAAGGGCATGCGGGGCAACTGGGAGGGTTTGGAGGGCACTGGGAAGGAGTGGAAGAAAGCGGAGGATCTAGGAAGGGCCCGCATTCTGCGAGCAACCTCCTAACAGTGCCCTGACATGCCATGGGGTTAAGGGGAAGGCTGCTCCCTCCTAATTAATTGTAGATAGCACTGGGTAATTAGGGGAGAGCCCATGGCTGGGGGCCAGGAGGGATCTGGGTGTACTTGGGTTTGTGGGGTGGAGCAGGGACATCTGGACAGCTGTGTCCTGGGTGGGTAGGAATGGGGGGGACAGGGAACAGGTAGGTAGGTAGGGGCATCCAGTTGCCCGGGTCCCCTGGAGGGCAGAGCGTGTGGGGTTGAACAGAGGGAGACATGCCTGGGTCCCCTGAGGGATTATGTGTGTGGGGGGGTAGAGCAGAGTGAGCTGGGACACCTGGGTCTCTCCTGGGGAGCGGTTGGGTGTGCTGGTGCAGCAGAGGTACCCGGGTACCACAGTTCCGCAGGGGGCTGTGGTTGCCCATACAGTGGGGTTGCCCTTACAAGTCCCTTCCCAGGGCACCATGGCCATGAAGTCTCAGTGGCTGATCTCGTAATCCTGCTCCTGCTTCATGGCACCAATCCATATGGGGTCCCATTATGCGGCATGATGTGCACTGCAATCCCATAGCCCAGCGCCTAAACCATAGCCCCACTCCTGCTCCATCCTACGCTTCCTCCCCCGTAACCCATGCCTGTGTCACCTCAATCCCGTAGCCCCACTCCCACCTCCTGGCCAAACACCCATCCCATCGTGCCACTCCACACCCCAAATCCACCCCAAAGTCCAACGCTGACCACACGGGCCCACTCCCACTGGCACAACACCACCAACCCACTCCCTAGTAAACAACAGCCCCCTCCCACGCTGTAGCCCCCTCTCACCCCACATCTGTACTGTCTCCTCATAAACACAATATTATGCCTAAGTGCTGTTTCCTCCACCTAGCTTCCTGTTTATTGGCCCACTCTTTCTCCATAGCATAAAATCTTACCTATAGTGCCACTCCAGCCTGTAGCCTCACTTCTACTCCAGAGGGTAATGCCACTCCATAACATGAATCTTACCCCATAGACCCGCTCACACCACATAGCCCAACTTTACACCATGGGCAAGTAACCACCCTATAGCCTCCCTCCCAACACCTCCCTCAAAGCCCCATTCTAACCCCATAGCCCAAAAAACACCCCATAGAAGACTCACTGCTTTACTCCCATCCTAAAAGCCATCGTCCACTCCATCCCTGCTCCCACACTACAGCCTGACAGCCACCCTACACCCTGGATCCCATATCCCACTCCGACTTGGTAATCCAACACAAAGCCTGTTGCCTTTCTCCCACCCTGTTTCCCTTCTCCCATCCCACAGGGCAAGGACACTCCCATACAGCAACGCAAACTGCAAACATTCATTCATCCATCCATCCACCCACCCCTACAAACTCTATATCCCATCCTCTTAGTCCCTATAGCCCATCTCTACAGCTTCCAGTAATCCCAAAATCTACCCTGATCTCATCCCCACAGATGCCATATGCCCACAGTACTCCACATACTTCTACTGCCTCAATATTTCATCCCTGCAACTCCAGCACCCCTACAGCCCCTCATTTTTTCCAAGGTCATAGAATCATAGTATCACAGAATGGTTTGGGTTGGAAGGGACATTTAAAGATCATCTGGTCCAACCTCCCTGCCATGGGCAGGGACATCTTTCACTGGATAAGTTTGCTCAAAGCCCCATCCAACCTGACCTTGAACATTTCCAATGATGGGTCATCCGCAACTTCTCTGGGCAACCTGTTCCAGTGTCTTACGACCCTCATTGTAAAAATGTCTCCCTTATTGTCCTGGTTTCAGCTGGGATAGAGTTAATTTTCTTTCTAGTAGCTGGTATAGTGTTATGTTTTGGGTTCAGTAGGAGAAGAATGTTGATAACACACTGATGTTTTCAGTTGTTCCTAAGGAGTGTTTAGACTAAAAGTCAAGGATTTTTCAGTTTCTCATGCCCAGTCAGCAAGAAGGCTGGAGGGGCACAAGGAGTTGGGAGGGGACACAGCCAGGACAGCTGACCCAAACTGGCCGAAGGGGTATTCCATACCATGTGACGTCATGCCCAGTATATAAACTGGGGGGAGTTGGCCTGGGGGGGGTCGCTGCTCGGGAACTAACTGGGCATTGGTTGGCGAGTAGTGAGCAATTGCATTGTGCATCATTTGTTTTGTATATTCCAATCCTTTTATTATTTTTATTTTATTATTGTTGTTATTATAATTATTAGTTTCTTCCTTTCTGTTCTATTAATTAAACTGTTCTTATCTCAACCCATGAGTTTTACTTTTTTTCTGATTCTCTCCACCATCCCACTTGCGGGGGGGCAGGGGAGTGAGTGAGTGGCTACCTGGTGCTTAGTTGCTGTCTGGGGTTAAACCATGACATTTATGTCCAACCTAAATCTCCTCTCATATTCTAGCCCCACAGCTCCCGTATATCACACATACAGCCCTCAAAAATGCAATATCCCTTCTTCGCAGGCCCCTTAAACCCACAATGCCCCCATCAGCCATCCCCACCAACACCATATCCCTACAAAGCCCCATGAGCTTCTCTCGCAGTCCTTGATATACCCACACTGTCCCCCCACACTCTTGCAGTGCCCGGCAAATCCCCACTTTTCCCCAGATTGCCCCATTTTCTCATTGCCTCCATCTCAGGCCCACAGAGATCCCAGAAATCTGAGCTTCTCCCCACAATCCCCTGCCCTCTCTGCGGTGGGTCTCCCAGCACCCACTGCACTCCCTGGATGCCACTGCCCTAACATCAAGGACAGGGACAACCCCAGGTGAGGAAAGAGGGTGACAGCAGTGGCTGTTGGGTTGCTGACTCACCAAAGGACCTGTTCTGCTTTGGGGGCTCTCTTTCCACCTTCTTTCTGCTCATCCTTCTCTCTGCCTCCATTCCTTCTCCAACCTCTTTCAGATGCAAGAAAGAACCAGGTGTGATGGGAACATGGTGGGATTACGGGTGAGATGGAGCAGAGGCGCACACACACAAGGCACAAACACGAGCACACACTTTGGGAAGGAGCGTGGAAACATGTGTCTTTCCATGAAACCCACAAGACCCAAACACAACATCCAGCTTTATTTGAACGGACCTGAGGCAGCTTGGAAGGCACGAGGGTCTGCGCAGAAGAACGGAGCAGCCAAAGCAATGCCGGTTGAACACGCACCATTTCTGCCTCTCGGGGACTCTGAGGCAGACAACGAGGAATCAGGCATGGCCCGAGAGAATCCTTAGCTAATGGAGAAAACCTTTACGGGATAGTTCTTCTCATGCCTCTTCGTAGTCCATCTGGAATCCCTCTTCCAGATCTGCAAAAGAGAGAAGCAGCAGCATTGGAAATGGCTTCTCTTCAGTCTTGGACCTCAATATGCAGATAAATTTCGGAATCAAAAGAGGGAGGAGGGTGAGAATCATAGAATCATTTAGGTTGGAAAAGACTTTGAGTTCATCAAGTCCAACAGTAAACCTAACACTACCAAATCTACCACTAAACCATGTCCCTAAGTGCCACATCTACACATCTTTTAAATACCTCCAGGGACGGTGACTCAACCACCTTTGAGGAGCAATCCTGTTCAAATTCTCTGTCCAGAACAACCTCCCAAAGCAAATTTGAACAAAATGTTTGTTTCCTTTTTTTTTCTTTGGAAAGGATGGTGGAATAACAGTCAAACCTGGTCATTTTCTGGCAAAGAAAATGAAGTCCCAGGGTTCTAAGAATTAGTGTGGCCTAATGGAAGTGAAATATTTACCTCTTCTCTTCATCAGGCAGTGGGAGAAGAAAAAGATGAAGCCATTGATGGTAAAGAATGAACCCCCAACAATGATCTCTCGAAGCCAGCTGATTTTGTGGCCTGGGAAGGAATCAATGGTGACTTTACCATGGTGCAACCTTTGCCTCCAACAGAGATGGTTGATAACTCCTACTGTGAGCAAGCCGAGCAAGCCCATCAATAGCTAGCCCCATCTTAAAGGGAAGGAGGTGAACTTCCCTCCAGCTCTACAAATTGCCTCTATGGTGATCTTGGGAATGGGCATAGGAGTCAATGGATGTCAAGATTGTGACAAAATGTTGCCTAGCAGATAGACGGGCCTACCAATAAAATGGTAAGCTGTGTTTGCCACCCTATTGCATACTCAAACTCAGCTGTAGTGGTCCCTTGGAGATGGCTAGATGTTTAGCTCTTGGGAATCTATGGTGTATATCCCCCCAGAATGATGGATTGTCGAAAAAAATTGTGGTCTCATCAGAAAAGCCAGACAAGGTGATGAGACAGTCTTTTCATTGAGATCTTTTTCTCCAGTACCCCTCCTCATTTTTGTCCATAAAAACATGGGCAGGTATGGCAATGAGCTCATTTAGTGATGGATAGAGAAACTGAGGCAGAGAGATGGATGGCCACAGGACAGGAAGGGATAGAGATGAGACTCATGGATGAGTTCATAGGCAAGCAAATGGGTAGTGAACTAACTAATGATGGGTCAGTAGTTACTAGATGCTCTAGTGAGGAAGGGTTTGAAAACTCACTTTTCAGGTTGACACTGATCCAGCTGCTCCTTTCTGAGCGAACAGGACGTGTAGACTTGATTACAAAATAGGCACAACTGTAAGACCCAGAGACCATGTCTCCTGTGATCCTGAGGTTGAAGCTGTAGTTTTTCACGTTCGATACTGGGATGGAGACTGCAAGTCCAAAGTCTGCATAGTACTGGACTTCTTTAACATCATCTGAAGATGAGGGGAAGGAGCAGAGTAGGTTGACGTGGTTCCCAGGTCTATAGACCTGCTGCTGAGGATCCAGGGATAAAGTTGGGGCCGTGGGAGCAGCTGGGGAAAAAACAAACAATAAAAAACCCAAGCAATAGGCTATCTGTTGACGTCAGGGCCTGTGCGCAAACCCCATGATCTTTCCCAATGTCTCGATGTGGGAAAAAAGACCCATGGTTCTCAGAGATAAAAACTCAAAGCAGCTTAAGCAGTTTCTTTGTTTTCAAAAAAATAAGTATTTTTACGTGTCCAAAGTAGGAAGGCATGTAATACGCCCCAAGCCCTAACGAAAGCCTTGGGGAGGCTTACTGCTGTACGACCTCTTGGAGGTGACACAGCTGTCTGGCCAACTTATTCCTGCTTTCTCAGAGAAATCCAGGAGCACAAAAGGAGCTTGTGAGAGGCCAGAGCAACTTCATTTGTGCATTGGCAACCAAATGATAGGGCCATCGGACAAGATGATGCTCTAAAGGGAGGTGTGCAGTGTCTGGGCCGATGGTACCCAAGCCATATAGACAAGACGAACCTACCCTGAACCTTAAGTGAAAGAGGAAGGCTCCTGTTGGAAGGAATTTCTTGTCCGGACTCCTTCAGAAAGTACATGCACGTGTACTCCCCAGAAGATGCTTTTGTAGCTGTAAGGTGGAGCCAGGCAGTTGCGAGGGAGTAAGGTGTTTGCAGGTCAATTTGCTCCCCAGTTTGATTGAAGAAACGAAATCCACCTATTTTCCTCATTGTTGGGGCAGAGCATGTCATAGTGACACGTTCCCCTTCATAATAGACATCATGTCTGGGGTCTGCGGAGAGTATAGGGACTGGCAGAAGGTCTGAGGATGAAAGAAAGGATTTGGAGGATGGGAGGGAACTTTCAGAGAGGAAAAGGAAAGTGAGACACCCCTTTTCCCTCCATTTTACAAAACATGGCTCAACCTCGCCTCATTGACAAAGGCTCTGTTCGGCTGGAGAGCATCTTGTGAGAGGTCAAGCTGCGCTTACCTGCAAAGGACACAGCCAATGGTAGCAGCTGGAGGAAAGCTGCCAGAAAGTTGCATTGAGACGACAAGAGAGAGGAGACTGCAAAAAAGAGAGAAAAGCAGTCACTTACACAGCCACTGCCCTATGAAGTCCTGCCCCTCTTGGCCATCAGTCAAGACGGCAGCCCCTCCACAACACGATGGATTCATACAGGTCATAGTTCCTTTCTGTGCCACCGTGGCATGGAAAACCTAGACCAATCATGGAGAAAACCCGTGAAACAATTTCACATGCCAATGAGGTCACCCATCGAAAAAAATATCTAGAAAACTCAACATGTCCCTGAACTTATCTTTTAGCTACTTGCAACATATGTTGCATGAGATTATTTCTTCTGTTAGAAGCGGTTTGGTGACCGCCAAGCGGTTTATTGATATCAGCCCTGGGAAATGGTATCTTGAAACTGAAAGAAATGGGGCTGCTGGAGTCCTCACAGAATTAGGAAGGACAGGAGATCTGATGGGTCCTAGCAGGGGAGAAAGGCGGTGTTGAGCCAGGGTGCAGGGCAGGATGAGCTCAAGGTCAACTTTCATCAAATACCAGGCTGCAGAAAGGAATCTTTGGGTGCCAGCTCCGAGGTGGGGGTTGTTGCTTGGATTAGAGATGAGGAGGGCCTGGGGAGCTGTGGTGGGCTGGCCCTGGCTGGCAGACCAGCCCCACACAGCCACGCGCTCCCCCCACCCCCAGCAGGACGGGAATAAAGAATAAGAAGAGCAAAAGTGAGAAAACTCATGGGTTGAGATAAAAAAAGTTAAATAAGTAATGGAAGGAGGAAGAGCAAAAAACAACCTAAATAAGTGATGCAAAGACAATCACTCACTACCTCCCAGAAGAACAGGGATACCCAGCCAGACCCCGAGCAATGGCTGCCTGTCCCAAACCCCCTTTCCCACTGTTGGTATTGATTAGCATGAGGTTATAGGGCATGGAATATCTCTTTGGTCAGTTGGGGCTGGCTGTTCTGCTCATGTCCCCTCCCGGCTTCTTGCACACCCCCAACCTGCTCCTTGTAGGGCAGAATGGGAAACAGAGAAGGCCTTGACACCTTGCAAACGTGGTCAGCAATAGCCAAAGCTCTGGTGTGTTATCATCACTCTTCTAGGCACAAATCCAAAACGGCACCGTATGGGCTGCTGTGAAGAAAACTAACTCCATCCATCCAGACCCAGGCCAGAAACCCAGATCTTGGGTTCTCTCCCTGGCCTGGGAGCTGTAACCCAGCGCATCAACCCTGCACAGGAGATTGGTGTAGGACCTCACCCCCTCCACCCGAGAGGAAACAGAGCTGTCTCAAGTCTAGTATTTAACCCTCCAATCCATTGCATGCGTGCCCACAATTCCCTGAATAGCATTTGGG